GGTGCCGAAGGCATCGCTTCTGCCTAATGATGACAGGGTGCCGAAGGCATCGCTCGTGTCAAAATGATGACGGGGTGCCGAAGGCATCGCTCGCGTTTGATGATGACAGGGTGCCGAAGGCATTGCTCGCGTCAAATTATGGTGTATAAGCCGATGATCCTTACCAATGGTTATTGCCGATGGCTAATAATCTTGGGTTTTTGCTTTTGGCGTTGCCATGAATGCCAAGTGCCACAAGTGGGCCTCCTTTGGATTAGTGGTTGCTGCCAAAAGACTTTAATAAGGCATGTAGTGCTTATTTTGGATGAACCCATGCGCGTGTCTTCTTTTGATTTTGAGAGGTGGCTGGGGCCACTATAACTCAATATGGCTCCGAGCAATGAAACTCACGTGGGTAGGTGACTCTGAATATCAATGGGCCCTCCAATTTTTAGAATATTGGGGTGCCGTTCGGCATAGAGAGATTTGCAGATTTTTATAGTCATCCATGCAATAGGCTTTTTTTTTTTCTTTTTTTTTCTTTTTTTTGTAATTCCAACAGGGCGATGCTTCTGTAGGAATGGTTATCGCTTAATAGCGGTTTGTCCGTGCATCTTGGCCCATTTTTCTGGACCTGCCGAACGGTAAGGAGCTACCACGTGCCATTTGGCAATTGGCTATAGCGCACAGGTGTCATTGGGATGTGGTTGTTTTGCCATTCGAATGGACTCTTCCTTTGAGAGCTTCTGACCAACATGGTGGTGCACGTAGAGCTTCGTGGTTGTCTGAGCATGGGTGATGCCGAACGGCAGCTAGGCTTGCGATGACGAACCCATTCTCTTTGGGTGTCCTGAGTAATTTATCGGCATGGCGTGCACAGCCAGGGGCTTTGATTCTGCACAAGAGTATGGGCTTCGATAGCCATGGGAGATTTTATTGCTTTGGTGGATGATGACTTGCCATAAGAAATTCAATCAAGTTGAGTTGGTGCTAATCAATCATGATGCCGGTCCCATGACTCATTTCCCACTATATGAGTATTCCATTGAATTGCCGAATGGCAATTGACAGGTGTTGAACAACACCTAAGCCACAAATTCATGGACCATGTGGGCTACCATCTGGATTGGCATGGTTGTCTGCTGCTTGGCCATGCACAATGATACTTCTTTGGTGAATTGGAGTAGTGGGCAACCGCCAGATTGAATTTTCTCAAAGTGACTGAATCTGGACAGCCCCTGGTATTCACATGCAATATATGGACAGGATTTTGCAGTGAGTTGTTAAATATTGCATGCTTGCAACAATATTGAGATAATGCAATATGAGAATAAGAATCTTATCTCATGGTGTGGCGGGGATGCACGTGGGCATCCGTTAGATTGGAATAGGTTTCTGCTCTGTTTGCCAAGCAACGTGACAGCCATATTTTGTTTGAGCGATGGCTGCTCCCACAGTCATGGAAGACATGCAAAGCAAGGTGCCGAACGGTAAGGGCTTTATGATTTGAATGTGTCTGGCGTTCAGCAGGGCCTGGGCGTCGTATGTCACCATAAGTAGTTGCCCCATACATGTACTTAGAGGCGGCCTCTGTTGTTTTGATTTGGACTTCTTGCTTATCTTGAGCAATTGATTGACATAGGGTGCTGAACGGTAGCTCTTGGTTTTTGAGCTTTTTGAAGCAGATGGTTTTGTGGGCATAGGGGCCGTACAGTACCATTTATCATTGGCCAATACTTGGCCAACTCCTACTAGCTTGCCGTTTAGTAGCCTTGGCTTTCCATTGAAGATCTGCTCCCACCTTACCGTTCTGTAAGTTGGAATTGAGTTTGCAAAACTACACATCAAGAGCAAGGCATGGCGGGTCCATTGTGTGTCGCCATTCAGTTATGTGCTTTCAGAGAGGAGTGAGAGGTAGGCTTGTGACTTTTTGTTCCTCCATGGATGCCATGCTTTTCACATATTTTTATCCTCTCAATCGCGTGGCGTAGGTGCCTTGATGAAGTTCTTTGCTTGGGGTGCCGAACGGTATCATTGGTTCCGATTGGCATATGAGGGCGCATGAGGCAGGAATGGCGGCTAGGTGCACTTAGAGATTTTTGGAGAAATGTCTTCTGCTATGTAGTTGCCGATTAACTGTGCAATACAATAATGCCATATGTGCTTTTGACTAAAGTTGATGACAACTGGGCAGAATTGCCCAACGGCACCTGCGCCACAAATAAGGCTTTTACTTGCCCAATGTTAATCAATTAGATATGTATTTTCCAATAGAATAATGAAATGGAAAAAGACAAGGATATTCCACTTATCTTTCTTTTTTTAAGAGTGATGTTCCCAAGAAGGCATCAGCATGTGTGACTTCCTCCTCCTACCATTCGACAGCTTTGGATTGTCATGGGATGGTTGCTTCCATTTCTCCAATATTCACCAGGTACCGAACGGTAGTTGGGAACTAGTTGCTTTCATCTCACCAATGGCAAGCGATGAATGATGGCGAGGTGCTGAAGGCATCATACACGCCGAATGGTGGCGGGGTGCCGAAGACATCGCTTGCGCCGAATGGTGGCGGGGTGCCGAAGGCATCGCCCGCGCCGAATAATGGCGGGGTGCCAAAGGGTGGAGCTTATAGAACAAGCTCAAGTCCCCAATATCTTTACTCTTCAAAGGGATGCCGAACGGCAAGGATTTATGATCTGAAGGGAGCACTCGCCATTACCTCTTTGGAATGAATTACGTAGGCTTTCCCTTGGACTTGAAATGGAGGTATTACCGAACGGCACTTTGAAATGAGATGGTTTCACACTTGGTCATGCAAGCCACGCAAGCCATGCAAGCCATGCAAAGTATAGCCATACAAAGTATAGCCATATTCTTGTTGGCTTGTCCTTAAAATATCATCCTCTGCAATTTGCTGTCTTAGCATTATGGTTGCTCCAACATGGTACTGCCGAACGGTAAGTCAAGTGATACAGATTGTAGGGGTGCCGAAGGGCACTGAAGAAGGGAGAATGACAGAAGCTTTTTGTGTCGATTCCCACAGACGGCGCCAAACTGTTGACGCCAAAAAGTGGTTTAGGACTTTGATGGTCAACTTAGAGATGAGGTGTGATAGATGATGAGTGAAGGTTAGGACCTTCATCAAGTGTGTGAGGATTTGACAAGCGATAAATATACAGAAGACAAGATATACGTGGTTCACCCTTAATGAATGGGCTACGTCCACGGAGAAGTGTATTCTCATTATTATAACAATGTGTATTTACATTTGTACAAGGGGCTGGGCCCAAATATAAAGAGAAGAGAGACTAAAGATCAAGCCCAACCAAGGGGGATCCCTTCCTAGGTGGAGAGTGATCTCCTTTTATAGGTGAGAGGGAGTCTTCACTTCTTGCAATATTTCAATATGGGACTCTTGGCCTTGCTTAGAATTGCTTCTAGTTGCTTGGTCGAATATGGTATAAACAACTACTATAGCGACTACAAGTCGATTCCAATCTATAGCGACTACTCAGTGTTTATGTCTGGCCCCGGACCCGAGAGCAAAGTTAATCTCTCTATCGCACTACAAGTCGATTCGTCCAACGAAAATGCATTTTTGAAGGGTCTCGAAATCTTCAAACTGATTGACCCAAATGGTAATCTCGCCGATACCGACCCACCAAAGGGTACGACGTCAAGCTCAAAAAAACCCAAAAACAAGGCAAGGACACGTATGCTTGCCATCGTCGCCGGTGTAGTTTCCGGCATACTTGTGCTTTCTGTCTTCGCATTCTTTGTCTTCAGACAAAGATGGAAAGTCAAGTCCTCTGGCTCCCCCCAAGGGACGACTAAGTCAACAAAGACCTACGAGTCATCTTTACCGTCTGATTTGTGTCGTTCCTTTTCACTTACTGAAATCAAAGCTGCCACCCAAAACTTCAATAAAACTTTCATTATTGGAATAGGAGGATTTGGGAACGTGTACAAAGGCTGCATTGATGGTGGCGCCACCCGTGTTGCAATCAAACGACTGAAACCCGAGTCATCACAGGGGGCTCATGAGTTTAAGACGGAAATCGAGCTACTCTCTCAACTCCGTCATCGCCATTTGGTTTCACTCATTGGGTTCTGCACCGACAAAGGCGAGATGATCTTGGTCTACGATTACATGGCACGTGGGACTCTCGGTGGCCATCTCTACCGCTCCGATAACCCACCTCTTTCATGGGAACAACGGCTTCAAATTTGTATTGGCGCAGCGCAAGGGTTATGCTACCTTCACAGCGGTGCCAAGGGCTCTGTTATTCACCGCGATGTGAAGAGCACAAATATTTTATTGGATGAGAAATGGGCGGCAAAGGTTTCGGATTTTGGGTTGTCCAAAATGGGCACAACCACCATGTCCAAAACCCACATCAGCACGGCGGTGAAAGGTAGTTTCGGGTATTTGGATCCGGAATACTATCGATGTCAGCGGCTGACTGAGAAGTCTGATGTGTACTCATTTGGTGTCGTGTTGTGCGAGGTATTGTGTGGGAAGCCAGCTTTGATTCATACGGCGGAGGGGACTCGAATGAGCCTTGCTGAGTGGACCAGGAGATGTCATCGCGACGGGGAACTTGATCAAATCATCGACCCAAGTTTGAGGGGTATGATTGGAGCCGAGTGCCTGAATAAGTTTGGTGAGATTGCTGTGAGCTGCATCCAGGATAATGGGGTTGACCGGCCTTCGATGGATGATGTTGTGAGGGAGCTTGAGCTTGCCTTGCAGCTTCATCAAAAGAGCATTGGAAGTAAGGGTGACAATGAGGTTGCCTTTCACAGTGACACTGCTGCCAAAGCTAGTAGCAGTGAGCTGACTTGTGCAACCGATCAATCTATACAACGTATATCCGGAACAATCTTTTCTGAGATTAACGATCCGAATGGAAGATGATGAGCAATGTGGCTAGAAGCATAGGCACTTACGATCGAGGGGCCTGGACTATGATTTCAGTGGGATAGTAAATATGTTACATCAATGTTTCATATCAGTTGTATTTGAACAAAATTAATTGAATGAAAAATTAGGGGCCATGAGTCGTTTACTCAGGTTACTTTTATTGTAGTTGTTTGTCCCAAAATCATTATAGAAGATTTAGTATTGTAGAGTTTTAATAAATTGCAACTTTGTTAGGACTTGTGAATCAAATACAACTGTCCTATGTTGTGCATAAAAGGATAAGGGGGAATTCTCCTTAAATTGCACCTTTGGCTTTTGAGATAAAACTCGGGTTAAGTTACATTCCTTACACAAGAACAATGCAAATAGGAACTGGTCATGGATTGTTGAATAATACATTCAAAATCTCGTGGAAGGAACTAATCAGGAGTTAGTTGTATCCACTCTAAACATTTGCTATAGGATGAAGAAAGATCACCTGGTAATTGCTCCTAGAAATATTCATCACATAAGAGAATTTTCATGCCAAATGCTCCTAGTACTAGGATTTTTCAGTTCAAATGTCCACCCCTAGTGAGAGGGTTCATGCTGTTTGTTTTTTGTCTTTCTTTAACTTTTTTCCTCGCTGCATCCTGCACGTGAAATCATGAAACATTCAAACATGAAGAAGCAAGCGAGCATGCAAATGCGAGGGGGGTCAGCTTGTTTGGACGAGTCTAAAACTAAAAGTCTTTTGTGCCATTTCGCTGAAATCATGGAAAATATCAAACGAGACAGCCATTCCGCTGTCAAGTAACTCAATTCCCACACACAACCAAGTTCCACAATAATATCTCGCCAAGATATTCCTCTGCCCCATCAATTTTATTTCAATCGATTGTAGTGTTTGTGGTCCTAGTTTATTTTCCTTTCACATCTAGTTAATCTCTGTACAAATTCTATATAGTCAGTCTACAACACCCGTCAAATACTCCACGGGATGTTTGTCATGTGGATGTGGATGATTTGTGGTGTTCATCGATAGAGAGCTGAGAGTCAATTGAAACAAAAAACTTTTCCAAATTTGAGAGCGGTGTAAGAATCCAAACACGCGTACGACCGACTCCCTTACAAATGCATAACTACGCCTAAGAATGGTAGTTAGAATTTGACCCC